CTTTTTTAAAATTTAACTATTTAATTTTTAAAATTAACTATGCAAGCAGACTTTTAAAACAAATATATTACATAGAGAGTTTGTGTTTTGACAAACACTCAGGTGTGGTCCCACTGAATTCACCAATGGACCAGAAATAATAAAGCCAAAATCTTGTTTTGATCGTTTAAAGTATTAACATTTTAAATATCTTTTGGCCTTAATTTTCACATAAATGGAAACATGACCACACGTCATCTTTGATATGACTCTTCTAACACTTTTAGATTATGTAGAGTAGCGTTGACTGATCACATTAGAACGGCATGGACCCCTTACCCCATCAACCGTCTTCAAATATGTTCTTTTTGCTGAACCGATGCAGTGAGCTAATTACCTACTTTAATTGATCTCTAATGTAAAAAAAGTATCTATTCTCTTATAAAACGCCAAATCTTATGACCCTTACTCAATTATTATTGTAAATTTTACAATAGTATTTAATGAAAATTAGATACATACTTAGCATCACCTGGACAGGTTTACTTTGTTATACTTTAAGACAGAATGGTATGATGTTGTGCTGTGTCATTTAAACTTAAACTACCATCTAGATTTGTCAAGGCATATTTCGAATATATCTAGAGATTTATTATTATTATCTTTTCCGATGTGTCTGCCTTTGACACGATATAACTTTTCCGAGCAGAGTGTATAACTGTGATTCAACGGAACATAGTTATCCCAATGTTAGTGAACAAGCTTACATCCATCTTGCAAAGTTCGAGATTAACATATTTTTAGAGGACATTTTTCCAGAAATATGCGACTGATGAAAATAAACAGTTACATGATGCAAAAATTTTGACTACATTGAAAGACCTGTTGACTCCACAGAATATATGTGAAGCGTAGTCATGGTTAGGAAACGAAAGGCAATACCAAGTGACTAAATCAAAACAAAGCTACAGGAAAAACATGCAAGCATTTTAATGACACCAGATATTGACACATAAACGTAGACATATACAGAATAGACAAAGAAGAAAATTACTTGTTCCCCCCCATACCCTTTTGTTTTAGCCGTGCTCTATGTCGCCGCAAAATTTACGTGGGGTAACTCTAGTGTGACTTGCAGAAATAAAAAAAAAATCTTACCATGACGTTTTCGTGGTATCCCGCACGGTAGGGCCACAAAGAGAAATATATATGTATTATGGGCGGGGGTTTGGGTTTTTTCCGCCCGTCCCCCCTCCCCTCCCCCCGAAAAAAAAAATTATATATGTATGTGTGTGTACATAATCTTTATTACATTCTAACCTTCATTCTTTCGAAAGATATTTATTGTGCTCTAGAATAGGTTTTTCCTGGAGTTAGTGGAAAAATTGTAGACTCCCAGCCATTACCAGCAAGGGGTCTGGGGATCTCTGGAGCTCCCCAAGCGCCGGGCGAGCCACTCCTCCAACAACTATTTCTGGTACTGAAAACCAACAAAATGCATATTCTGAGATATATACAGTGCATTTTCCCGCTATTAAGTTTAATTTCAAAAACCTAATGTGCTATTCTTAATGACTTATACCAACCCCGCCATTTGGCGCATTTTCCGCCAAGCTGTTTCCACAAAAATCTGTCACTGGTAATGTCTAAAGCCTCTTCCCAACTGTTCTGAGGACCTTCATCATCGTGTGGCGTCAAGTTGTACTAGGATGTCATCGCAACTCTTATTATGCGTATTTCCTTTTGACGGAGAATATGTCCCGAAGACCTCATGTAACACTATGTCACAACCTTACTAAGGGATTGACTCCCAGTTTTAGACCCGATCTAAATAATTGACTCATAAAATCTGTCTTAGCCATCTTTTTTTAGCCACATTTAGTGTTTTTCAATTTTAGCAGATGACTTTTCACTGCACTTTATCAATTAAGCCCCGCCACTGGTAGAAATATGTAACCTCTCTTGAATACGCTCTTGGAATTAGGTGACTGTCGTTTGCTTTAGACTTTATATCGAAAAGGGAATTTTTATCGTCAAAATAACCTGTTGGGGATTTTAGACTCAAAACCATCTGGAGGGGTTTTAAACTTTAAAAAAAAAGCTAACTGTAGGAGAGGCGTTTAAACTCCATACCCCCGATTGGCTTGGCTACGCTAAAATAATTTTAGTGTGTAATTTGCTTTTTTTTTTACTTTTAAGAGTTATTTTTAGCTTAAAACCCAGCTGGCTGGGGGGTTAAATTTAAACCCCTTTTTGCTACGCTCATATAATTTTGAGTGTGTAATTTGCTTTTTTTTTGTATTGAAGAGGGGGTTAATCGTAATTTTGATAGGGGTTTTAAAATCCAAATCTTCCTTAACTGTGCGTTTGGAATTTGAGGATTGTCGTTTGCATTTTTGTGTTTTGTTTTATAGAAGAGGGGAATTTAAATGCAAAAATCCCAATGAATCGACTTTAGTAAGCGCTAAAAATGCGAATAAATCTGTCTTTTTTAGTGGGCACCTATGAGGTAACAGTGACATCTAAATAAATCATGCAAATCAATTATGTGGCACCAGATATATCGTGAAAGTTAATAGATAGATAGATAGAAAGTTTGATTCATTCATTGATTGTTGTAGATAAATAGATAGATAGATAGAAAGAGAGAGAGATGGACTGTTTGATTGATTGATTTATATAGATAGATAAATAGATAAATAAATAGATAGATAGTTAGTGTCACAACTATTGTTGTATTGTATTGTAAAAATATTCACAATCTAATAGCGCCGTTTTCATCAATAGGTGATGACGTCATTAACGGTGTTTTATTTGTTGTGTAGTATTAATGTTCTCCCCTTGTCGTTTCGTCATGATTTTTCATATGACTTCAAATTTTTCTTCTCGGTCGTTTGGTACATTCAGGCCATATTGCTAGACTGAAGACTGTTAATACTGGATAGCCTTATCGTTGGCCTTGGTATATATTCTTAAAGGATTATTTGACCCCTGTTTAGGGTGAGTTTTATTTCACATTGTAAAGTTATTCTTAAAATGGATTCGGTCGTAATCCTATTTTGTAAATAAATAAGAAGATTAGAGGATTAGAAAAATCAGTTATTTGTTTTTCTTTAGGGTTTCAGGATTCAAGTCTCAAATTTTCGTCTGAGGTTTCAAGATGTATGTATCGAGTCTGAGTTCCAGGTCTCTAGATTCAGTCTTGATGTTACATAGTGACGTTGTGAGTTTTGGTGCTACTCTGAACTGTGGTTATCTTCATTGATGTTGAACATTTGTCTTGGCTAGAAGATACCTGTGTTACCATGAACATTTGAACATGAAATACACTTAACCTTTCATAGAGTTTAAGTCTTGAAATATTGTTGTGGACAATATTAACATCAACATAGTTTTAATGTGATTACTTACTTAGACTTATACTTAGGTACGTTTGGCGCATTGGGCGGCAAGCTGTCTCTATAAAGATCTGTCATTGGCAATGTCTGAAGCCGCCTCCCACTAAGTGTCCACTGTTCTGAGGCCCTCTATGAAGGTGTGGCTCCAAGTAATACGAGAACGTTCCTGTTTGCGCTTTCCTCGTGCTGGCCTCCATGTCATCGCAACTCTTGGTATGCGTAGTTCATTTTGTCGTAGAACATGTTCAGTAAACCTCATCCGACGCTCTGTCACAACCTCACTACGTGTTCGACTTCCAGTTTGACAAAGGATTTCCTTGTTTGAGACCCGATCTGTGTAACTGACTCCCAAAATCCGTCTGTGCAATTATTATTGAGCCACAATTAGTATTTTCTCAATTTTGACAGATGACTTCCATGTCTCACGTGCATATGTTGCAGTTGGAATGACGATAGTATTGAGAAGGAGTATTTTTGTCTTGAGAAGGAGTATTTTTGTCCAATGGCTTGGCTTGGATTAGTAGGCTGCAACTTTGGAAAATCTTACCTTGCCTTCCCTATTCGGCACGCTACATCATGGTAGGCATCTCCATCATTTTTAATGATGCTGCCAAGGTACGTGAACTTTTCCAGTGCTTCAAGCTTTGACTTGCCAAGTCTGACAGAAAATAGAAGTGATTGTACAGCTTCCAAAAAAAGGGCAACTTGGCAGACTGCAACAACAGGAGGGGCATTACTCTCCTCTATGTCCCAGGCGAAAACAGTAATATTGCAACACAGTTCCAATTGCAACTAAAAAAACCGCTTCGAGGCTCTTTTAGATATACTGAACCTTGAAGAAGAGTGGGCCAACTTATTTAAAAATACCACAATTGAGTTATCGGAGGGAGGCGAGGTTTATACAAGGAACGATGGAGTTAGTCGAACTATCAATATAACAGTATTGGCAACAGTTTCGTTACGTGCATGACTCTTCTTTTCGTATCGACGGAGATAAAATTGAAGTTGTTGATAGTTTGTAGTTCATAATTTCTTTTTTTTTCTCTTAAAATATTGAAACTTGTCTTTTTACCTGCCTTAGCAGACCACTTTGGGGTGCCAATTTAGTTTGTGTTGTCACACAAACTGTCTTTGTAATCATGTGTTTGTTTGTTTGTTTGTTTTATTTTTAAATATATATATTTTGGAGTAATCTCTACACTTATAATTCACCATCACATGTCATCTCAACAAGGAGGTACAACACGTTTCTCATTGTCCTATATTTTTACAATCTTTATAATCATTTTTGCTCCCTAATTTATCTTTATCTCGTATTATTCTATGCAAGAATGTCTTACGTATCTTGTGAGATTGTCAAATCCACATATGTTTTACGAGTGGCTCAATAATCTATTAGATCTTCTGATCCATTATAGTAGTATATAATATAACATACTATTTACAATAACTCTATTTAAGTCAGAGCTTCATGGAACTTTAGGTTTGGGCGATGTCGGGCTTGTTTTATGCCTTGGGTCGTCTTCCCGGCACCCCTCACAGACTATCGCTTAGTATATTACTTAAGTAAACTCATGAACAATTAATACCAGTAGGTCAACGCATTATATTTAACAACAAGAGATTACGTAACAAAGGTTTAATGAGATATGACGTAAATGATAGTTATACATAGCAATTAGAAATAGATTATTTAATATAACATAATAAATAGGCCTAAATTATGTACCAATATATCAAATGAAAGCACATATTCTGTTACAGTGCCTGCTATACACTCCAGACTCACGCTGCTCACAATCAAATACAGCCAAAGTACTACTACTACAGGAATGGCTAGACTTGCACCAGTCCCAGGCCTTAGTCAAACCGCCACACCCTCCCGAATATATATATATTGGCGGGGGAGGTGGGTTGCGAGATAAAAATCCCCTCTACCCCCCCCCCCCAAAAAAAAATCCTGGCCCATGCAATAATGACCTATTAGGAGCTACGAAATGAAGAAGACACTAATATAAAACTTAATTTACCCAATACTGGGGAACAATAACAAGAAGCTTTAACAAATATATATATATATATATTAAAGCTTTTATATAACGCTACTTTCATGCTTATAGCATGCTCAGAGCGCTTTTTGGTACTATCTCATTTGTGGATCGCTGTGTGTGTGTGGGGGGGGGGGGGTATCTAGGAGTTGGTTTTCCGTGCTGCCTTTAGGCGCTCAGTAAACACAACTCTGCCCGAGTTGGGCCTCTGCCCGAGTCGAACCTCGAGCTTGGTAGCCAAGCCAAGCCAAGTTCAAGCGCACTTGACCTCTCGACCACAAAGAACCAGCTTCAATCGAAACAAAAGAAGTAATAGCGTTTAAAGCGCTCGTCTTTGGAAACAGCGCATTAAACATTATGGTACATAAAAGAGAAACACAGAAAAAGAACCAACTCAAAAGGCGGAGGAACCTAACACTATTCTCAAAAAACGTCTCAAACATTTTCTTAGAAATTTAACAGTATATCAGTGAAAAAAGAATTTCTTGCTCGTTTGACTCATGGGAAAAACTCCTAATTCGCCAGTTATATTTTACACAAAAAAAATACATTAAAATTTGGTTAAAGACCTAGATCTAAGTCTAGATCCAACATGGATTTGAACGATTTATTGCAATCGGGAATTTCTTAATTCAAGGCACTATTAATTTAAGAATTAAATAAATTAATGTTCATGAAAATTGCGTGCAGCGACTTCTTAGTCTAGATCAGTGGTTTTCAATCTTTTTTGACCCACGCCCCCATTTCGTATAAATTCTTTTTAAAAAAGTCCACCAGCCCACCCCTTCCTCCGGGACAAATAGTAATAGAGTTGACATATGCAAACAAAATTTTTTTTTTCTAAATATTAGTATTTTTAGATTAAATTTTAAATAACGTTTTATATACAACTATTATTTTGTTGAATTCACTATAAAAATATTCTTCAGCTAATATGAACATTGTGCCTCGTGTAGTTAGCTAGCTAAGTGAGACTATCCAGCACACTGACCTAAATCGGCAAACATTAGTACCATGATAAAATCATAGTGGAGTCCCTTTAAAAACTTATATATCCATATACAACATACCTCCGCACCAAAAATATAATCCTCATTGTGTTATTAAAATATTATGGGAACCTGATTTTAGTTGGGGATGGTAAAGGCAGTTTGTCGGTGTGCTGGCCACATGACATCCTGCTCGTTAACGGCTAATGAAACGTATGACCTTAACACGGAGATGCATACATGCCAAAAGAGAAATGTGTATTCACAGGCCTGCAAATGTGTATTTTGAGGGGCAAATGCGTATTTTCCTAAATATAAACAAAATATACTCATGAAAAACTAAAAATCATTACAGCTAGTAACACACACAAAATGCAACAATCCTATTGTTAACACGCCATAAAGTTATATAAGACATTTTGTACATTTGTCAAAATAGTTACACTTCTAGTTTTTATCATATACTTTTCTAGAATGTTCTAGAATGATGTCTTTCTTTTCACTTGGCAATGGTTTTGTGATCATAACGCCTCTAGTGTATTCTACATTCCATAATAGCTACAAAAGAAAATTCATTCAAAAGAATGGGGATTTTTTGTTACATGTTAAATTAGACTTAAACCAGATGTAATAGTTTTGCTTGGCTGGATCAGAGACAAACTTATTCTATAAAAGAGGTTTTATGTAAAGGTCATTTCTTTACAAGGAATCCAGACACGGAATATTTTATCCCATTTTGAAAGAATTCAATTTTCTTTCAAAACATTCTTTGCAGAGTTAGCAATGAAAGCTTTGGCATCCTGCACAAACATTTTAAAGATTTTTTTTCAGTCAGATAATCCTAATAAGTCATTGAACTTGTTTCTAATATAAAGTCTGGACAATTGAGTCTGCTGAATAGCTGTTGTAAGATAAATATATTTATTCTGGTTCTGGTGCTTGAAGTTGTTTTATAAAACAAGCAGATGTATTGAAGGAGGGCACAAGGAATCAAGAATTAATTTTTGTCATCATAGCCTAATTAATTTTTTTCTTTTGCAAACACACTCAGCTTTGAATGCACCTAATTTCATACTTTGGTTGTAAGCCCCAATAAGTAATGGAATCTAGCTAGTCGCTAGTGACTATAACAGTAGCTTTCGATCTGCCACAAAGAGACTATCTGCAGGTCAGGGAACATCAGTTTGATTCCCTTTATCATGCTAAGTGAGAGATTGAACTCAACCAATAGTTCTTCTATTAAAACCTCTGCCCTTCTCACTTTCACCGCAAAAGAACTCTCTCCTGAATTTGGCGGTTTACAGTATATCGAAACTAGATCTAGAATAGATCTAGATCTGTAGGCAGCATCATTAACAGTTGATTGGTTTTTAATGTGCATAGGGCTGGGCTTCTTTAAAGGTATTTTAACAATCCCACGGAAATGTAGTCTCTGTCGTAAATGTGAAATATTAAGCTACATCTAGAATCAAGACCTATATTTACAAAACTAGTGCAGCAAATTTTGACCTTTTTAAATTTTAGATTCCATAAAGGATAAGAAAGAAGATCAATAAATAAAAAAGCTAAAGCTTTTGAGCTACTAGACCTAGATCTAGTCAGTCGGCTTACGTCTAAATCTATAATTAGATATAGGCTTCTTTGATCTATATTTGTTCTAAATCTAAGTCTAGTACACAAATAAAGCGATTCTATCTCGTGGTCGAATAGTCCATTCCTAACATTTACGCACTGATCTATCTATTTATAATATTAGGAATAACTCTTTTTTTTTAAATATTTTTTATTAGAGGGGAAAAAGCGTATTTTCAGATGATAAACCGTATTTGCATATTTTCGTGTCCATTTGCGTACAAAATAGGTAAGATGCGTTCTTGTAGACAACTCTGCCTTAACATCATCTGCCCTAATGATTAAAAAGTCTAAAAAGGGAACTATACACATATTGTGCATATTGTGCACCAAGAAAAACAAACCCAAAAAAATGTAAAACACAGGGTAATTAAACAAATGCTGCTTATTGGACATCTTTGTGTAGTTTCTTTCTAAATAACTGTACGATTCATTGTTAAGTATTCGTCATTGATGTTGCTTCTGAAATCTTTGAAATATGTTCCACTTTGTACTAGTTCCTTTTGTCATATACACCTGAAGAGACAATTATATAAGTTAATATTTTAAGTTTTCAATTGTAAAAATCGGAATAAAATATTCCTATTATATATACATAATTTAATTTCATAGATGAGGTACATGATTGCGCATTTAAGACAACTCAAAAATTACAATGAAGCCACAAGTTCAACATTTCTTAATAATTTCAATATTTATTAATTGTATCTGCTAAGTGGCGAAAAATCTATTTATTTGTGCTTATATCCCCAAATTCACCATATTTATAGTGAAAAAAGAAATTTATAGTCTAACAAAAATGAAATGTTTAGACAAACTTTCTTTGAGATCTAGAGTATAATCGGTATATTGTATTGAGTAAGCAAAAAAAAACAAAAAAAAACAAAACAAAAAAAACAAGAGGCATTTCATTTCTACTTCTGACGATCGATTCTGAATTTAATGTTATACACTTGGTTTTTTTTTTTAAATTTATATTTTTAAAAATTACAATCACGTATAAGTTTGTTCTTAATGGAATTAGGAAACTATGATATATGGATGAGGATGATGTGATTTCCCTGAGTATAAATGTTTATTTTATTTGAATATTTAGATCATGTATTTGTAGGTTTCTGAGTTTAGACCGTAAAAAGGGACGGGCTAATAGAAGTAATGTTATTGACCATACTTTAATACTTTCATTATCAGACTATAACATTTTTTTAAAATGCGAGAACAAATTTAAAATATTCACACTTATTAAAAATAGAAACCTTAAGTTCGTTCAAATGTCATATCCTTATTTTTATTTTTTTCATGTCTAAGGAAAATATATATAATTGACTACAAATATTTTGGAGTTTTGATAAGAACTTAAACAATTATTATCACGGCTTTGTGAATTTTAATCATACATATAACGTTTTGTTTTATAGTGTAAAGTAAAGGTGGACCGTAAATATCTTCCTTTTTTGAAGTAACGTCTGTTGTATATAACATAAGATAACGAGATCGTAGCCGTGTGATGTTAGACGACGTCTTGAGTGCACGTACATTATTGGGCATGGGTTTGAAAATTTACTTTTAACCCTTAAAATGCTGATCTTTTTTACAGGAGTGCATATAAAATGGAATTACAATTCTAGTGTTTAGAGGCTAGACTATCACACGCATCTAAAGGGTTAATATACTTTTTTCTTTTTAAACCTGAAGTGAAAGGTAACGTAAAGTATTATTATTTTGTTACAATAATTTATTTACTTCAGAAATAAAATAATCAAAACACACTTACCATTATCTGTTTTGTATTAAGCATGATCTAGACAGTTACAATGACGAATAGACAGGAAATAAAAACAAATAATGTTAAATTATTTCGTAAATATTCATAATTAGAGAAAACAGATACTTTAACAACTTTAATATTTGATTGAAAACTGTCTTCTTCACTTTGTCTGTCTACAGAGTTGAAGGTGTCGTCTTCTAAAAATAAAGAAAGACAAAACTAAAATGTGATTGCTTCTATACCAAAAAATTTGATGAAAGTAAGATACTCATTACAATAAAGATGTTGGAAATGGTGCCAAAAGTAGGTATAAAGTGATAATAAACGAGAAAACACGTCTATATTTACTGCATTCATTATCATTATACTGAAAGAATAAAACAAAAGAGATTAAAAGTATACACTTTTATTTTATCACTGTATACATAAGTATGCACTTCCCTGTATAATTGCTATTTTGATATAGAATTCTGTAGAGTTGAAGCAGTTATATATGTTTTCCACCTAACAGACGATACCAACG